CCCAAGTCTAGCATATTTGAACTCAGTTTCTTCTGAGTATCACCAAAAAGCTGAATTATCTGGAATTTAATATTTTGAAAAAGAATATAACAAAATAAGTTGACCTTAAATTCACAGGCACTTCCAGTTAATCATTTTCTTTTGACTTACTGAACAGTTTAAGTCTCTTACAACTAAATCATATCATACCTAGCTTAGTATGATTAAATACATATCTTCAAGGCATTAATGACTGAACTAAATTACTTTGAGAAAAGATGACATTTACATTCCTACATAAAGTATGACCAAATACTAATTCTGTAAACACTTATATTCATTAAGTCATTCATCACTTTATTAGAAAATTTAGAGAAGTAACACTGGGATATTTACCAATTTTAAGTTTTGATATTCATTATTAAACAATATTAAAACTACATGACCTTCAAAGGTAATAATGTCCAGCCACATGGTACAGGGGAATTTTATACAATAAGCTGGGAGTATTTTAACAGAGATGTGAATTTGCAAGACATTTTTCTCTATCCTGTGAGCATACCAGCTGAGTGTTCTCCTTTGGTACAGATAAATTCGAAAAGTTGTTACAGAAATTTCAATGGAGCTATTGATTATTTGACTGCCTTTTTCCCCCCCTCCACTGTAGCACCGTGTAAATTGTGTACCATGTCCCCATAGCTTCTCTTACTACATAATGTTGTTCTTATACTTGGGTATGGAGCTTGCAAACCAAGTATGCCCACATCAGACAATCTGCCCCATCAGTTCTCCTTTCCCAACAAGGATTTAACACCCACTAACTTAAACTAGAGCTTAACTTTTTCTGGAACTTCTTCCCTTTAGCTCTAGAGTTCTACAAGTAGGAAAAGAAAGTTTCCTTTCCACAAGCAGCAACTATTAAAACTTACATTACCGAAATGCTAAATCAGTAATACAGGGCAGCTATTAATATACTAAGGAAAATGCAAAGATTAGTGTCTTGAGCAAGTTATTTTTGTAATTGCTATTTGGGATATTTTCAACTTCTCCAACAGTACTAAACTCTTCTAAATGCGAAACAACTCTTCAGTTCCTTAGCTGCTACACCCAAAAATCAAAGTATTGTCCAGTGATTAATATATCATGCTGTTTACATTAACATTATGTTATTCATAGTAGCACCTATACAGTTTTCTTACTGCAGTTGACAAGGACTATTTCAGAGTTAATAGTGCTGCATAAGACCACTTCTCCAATGTGCAAACACAGAGAGATGCATTATCTTCCGAATTATGTTAGCTCTAGAGTTAACCACAGGATGGAGAGATGCCATCTCCGCCATGAACCTCACTTTAGCCCAAGGTAAACACACTTCCCCCACATCAGCTAGCCTCACAGCATTAGTGCTGGGTTATGATTGATCACCTGCAGGGTGTTGCTGAGATATGGATTTCTATCTCAGCTTTTTATCACTAGGACTTGCAAAAGGCAGTTCCTTATTTACAGACCCTGGCTGTATTAAGTGACATTATTAGGTACTACTACTGTTCAAGTGACAGAAAGGCTTAGCATATTGATGGTTTATGACATACAAGCTGCTTTAATCTGATGATTTACCCCTCACTTTTTCAATTTATAAACAGGAGCTGCAGCACAAGAACATATGGTACTAACAAAATTAAAGCTAAAGTAAATGGCATTAAAACAAATTCAAATATAACAATAGGATACTTAATCTGAATAATAAACCTGGATCTACTTCTAAAAACAGGAAATGAAACCCCAAATATGAAAATTACCCTCTTAAATCATTTCAAAAGACTCTCAGGATCAAGTAATTTCCTTACTAACCCTCATTATTTAGGTTTCACTGTTTAGATGAATAAACCTATAAAGTTATTCTTAAATAACTGAAACTAGGCTTGAACACCAAGATACTAAAAAGTAGGTGTTTAGCTTTTTAACTTTTGGGCTCATATCACATTTCCTCTGATAGAGTCAAAATATGCAATGTGTTCACAAATGCTTATTATAATAAACACTTTGCTGTATCTATCTACATAGAGCATAAAATCCACACAGAATCCAGAAAAATTATCAATCTAATGCCCATATTTCATACCATAGTTTAAAAAGGGCCAATGAAAAGAAAACTTGCATTTTCCTAACTTCCATAACAGCTTATACAAATTATACCAGCCTATTCAGAAAAGAAATCTCATTCCACTTTTTGTGCAAAAAGGCGGTTTTCCTCATCATGACTCTGTGGACAAACTCAGACCTATGGCACATGTAGTATTACATACCTTAAGGGGGCAAAAGCAGAGTTCTCAGTTTAATTTAAGCATGTGCTTAATTTATACTAAGCAATTCAATAAGCAGAAGTAGTAGATGTGTTGCATGTCCATCTGATAGGGCATTAAAAGTTTTTTAGTACCCCCTTAACCCTTTTGCGCATTGAAAAAATATATTTTTAGATGCCATTATCACTTTGCCTAAGAATAGTAGATTTTATAGCAGTATATAGACTTCCACATAACTGTCACTGCTCTACAGTATTTCTTGCCTACTGAAATATTTATGTTCAGAACTTATTCAACCTTTTTTCATTCTTATTATAATTTTGAATTTCTTCAAGAGCTACAAGTATCTATTCCAACAATTGTTTGCTCCATGAAAGCAAGCATCTCATCTGTGAAATTTTATGTTCAAATTACAAACTGTTAATAGCTTTCCATTTTCCTAGTTATTACTTTTGAGTCAGTTCATTCAAATGCCAATATCAGATTTCTCATTAAAGAGCCATTACTAGCCTAATAAAAACAACAAAACTCTTAAGCACTTCTAGTGCTCGCCCACTTACGAGTGTGTCCACATTTATACTTCTCTCAGACAGCCAAACACTCAGACTCCAGGGAACACTTCTGCCCCTTTGGGATCCTAGGCAAAGCCTTTCCTCTGAGTTTATGCAACATTTCTTTCAAAAACCAAACTCTATTTTTTTCAAGGAAATACCACCAAAGGAGGCAGCCACTCCCTCTGTACCTCCTCTGCAGCCGCTGCTATTTACTTTGAAGAATCTTGCATTTGAACAAGAGAGCTTATGGCATTCAGTCAAATAGGGGCCTCAATTAGATCACGGCTTAACTGAACATGCATCTCTTCCTCCCCACTCCCAAAAAGGAGCAAATGACTCAGTGAATATTCCAGTGCAAGCTGAGTGTAACATGCAGATTTCTACTTTGCAAACACTCTCTCCTGTAAGGGAAGAGCCCCCTGAAGAGATGAGAGCTCTACCTCTTTGACAAGCACTAAGGATATGGGGAAAACAGATCTGCAATAACAAGCTTCAGTATTTCCATTTAGATAATTTCTCCTTCTGGAGGCTGTTGCAGTATAAGAACTAAAAGACTTTGCATGTCATTTCTCTGATTTCCACACATTAGCCTTTACAAAAACATATTTAGGAAAACAGCTTATATTTCTTCTTCTATTTCATTTTCAAATTGAAGACAAAAAAAAAAAAAAACTTATACCTAGGACAAAAAACATTGCACTAGATATTCATCCATCTCGTTTCTACAACAGCTGACATCCTGCTAAACACAAACTTTTCCTGAACTTCTTAAGACAAGGGAAGATCAAGATGCTCAGAGAAACTCTGCTTGTGCAGACAGAATTCATGAGTTAGTTCATTTTTGGCCCATTCTACTATAGGAAATTCTTTTCACCTAACTTGCATCAAAAACTAGGAAAAAAAAAAGTTAGTAAGAAAGCTTTTTTTTAAAAAAAAAAAAGCTCATTTAAGCAGTAGGACAATTTGATTTATTAACCAATATGACCAAAGATTCTGCCCTCTAAGATGCAACAGAGGATTTCTTTTGCACATTTGAACAGAGACAGGAACAAAAGGCTCCCCTGCTGCTGTCACCAGGTCATAAGAGCAAATTTGAGTTGCCTGAAACTTGTCTCCTGAACAGAAGAAAGAACAAGTCCAGCTCCCCAGAGCAGGCTATAAATCAGGCCTTTGCTTTTCTGGTATCCCAGATAAATCTGGGCACAATTTTGATGGGAATTTTGTAGCTGATTTTAAAAGCTCAGATTTCATTTCCACTCTAAATTAGCTCAACTGTTTGACAAATGAAAGAATAGTACCAGCAGGCTTGCTGACACTGGCAATCTCTGACAGCTAAACCCAAAGGGCTTCACTACCAACTGTAGGTGGCTGTAGGGAGTTGTCCACAGAATCCTCTTACCTTCACAGTACACCACTACTTAGAGGACATATGAAAGGTTTCTTCTCACACCAATTACAACAATGAAATGGTAATAAGACAAAATAATATCTTTAAGATTCACAACTGTGCCGAAACTGATGTCTCTCCAGAGTGCTGAATAGACATAATGGCCTAGATTTCTGAAAAATAATTGTGATGTTGGCTTCAGGTATGATGGTCTAAAAAGTGGCTAAAACATCTTTTACACAGACCTTCTCAAACTTCTCTTAAGTCTGCCTACATAAGGGCAAGAGAGATTTACAGGTATTTTTGCCTTTCTATTTCATCTTCTTAGCCAAATTTGACAACTTGGGAAAAGTACTGCTTTTCCAACCATACTCTGAAAGCTAAATTAAAATATTGTGCAAGTACTATCAAAGCTAATACAGAAACACAATCTTCTTTTTCTAGTATTTAAAATATAGATTTGCTTTAAGAAGGCCTTGAGTCTGACCTCAGTATAGTACTTTACATAAAGAATTTTAGAGAATTCTTCCAAGGAAGACCACCTAAGCAAAAAGCAGGGCAACAACACAACTGGCCTACAGTTCCTAGGGAGGCAAAAGGTGTCCTCACAGCTTGTCAGAAACAGAGTTTCAAAGACACAACATTTTACTGCAAACATACAAAGAATAATTTATCAATGTTATTTATTATTATGATAACACTCAAATATTGCAAATACTTTAGAGACTGCCTGGTCCTACTTAAGTAATCATTAAAGTAAAAAAGTCTAATACTTACATAGCTGTGACTCTTAAGGAAATCTGAAGAGTTGCTTGTACAGACTTTGTCCCCTTCCAAGCCAATTACTCTTTTACAGATATTTGATTTGGGGTCATTTGGACTTTTCACAATTACAATATCTCCTCTAGGAGGGAAAAATAGAAGCAAAAGGAAAGAACGCTAAGTAAAACATATTTGGCTGCATATATGCTTATCAATGTCGGCACTAAAATTATTCACATATATTCAAGCTGCTTGTTTCTGCTGAAAATTCTTTTCTACAATTTTAGTTTTACTCAGTGTGTAGTTCTATACACTTCTAAAAACACCTTTGGAGAGATTTGTTTTTAATAAGGCTAATTTTAATGGACAATGCTCCAATGAAATGAATACCTTTTAACTTGGTGCTCCTGCTACAGGAGAGCAGAACAGACTAAGTTCCTGTAGCAGCTCCCATAATTTCTTAAAATATTATTCCGGCAGTGGAAATTCAGATACCTCCCCTGAGTTTGTAAAACCTTATATTACTTATGCCCTCGATTACACACATGAGATTGTGGTTGAATAGTCTACAAGCTACATATATAGAAAGGCCTAGAGCCTGCTGGGCTCTGTAACAAAATAAGGTGACAGCTGATCAATAGCTCTTAAACCATTTGTTGGTCACTAACATCCTAAGTAAAACAATACCTAGAGCTTGAATTAAGCTTAAGTCAAAATTGCCTAGAGATGAAAAGTCACATTTACTGTAGTTTCACACTACAGATCTAGATTAGGTAAGCACAGGTAATTCTCCATTTTCTAGACAAAGCTGTAAAAACTACAGAGGCTACATCCTAAATGAATTCTGACTTAAGCTGCTCTGTAAAGTGGGCTGTGTTTGCTTAAAGAAAAAGAATCACTCCATCTTCCCTCAGAGAGGGACAGAGAAGACTTATGAAAAATTTCCACTAGAAGCAGAGGAACATAAAGGATGGATAGATATTAGGTACTGACAGGCTCTGGCAAACTAAAGACAAACTGCAGTTCCAGCAAAGGAGCGTACTTTCGAATGCAATAAAAGTGGCGGCTAAGGTTCTCCGAAAAGACAACATCAGAATTTTGAATTGTTGGCTCCATTGATGGTCCAGAACACTGCAAATTAAAAATAAATTAAGATTACCATTTACTTATCCAGAACACATGAATATTCAAATTATTTGCTAATAAATCACAAAAAGCATAATAAAAGAAACATGAAATCCTCACAAGGAACATTTTATACATTTAAAAGGCAGAGTAGCCTCCTAAGGTCCTGGTATAGCTCTACACTAGTCCATGACTGTTTACGAGCTGTGCTAGGTACTAACAGTCCCCCCAGAAACATGTCAGCACCTGATCTGTGAGAAAGTATTAGAAGCAGCACTTCAGATTCTGCCAATTTAGCCCTTTCTTCAGCTTCTGTGAAAGCAGCAACACACAAGTGCCACAGAAGCTGTACGTTTAGCTCCCAGCCGGAATCCATTATAGCCAGGAATGGTATCTGCCAGCTAGAACCTGCATGGGTGGCTGCCAGAACAGCTAGTGCCCTGCCCAGAGGTGCAAACAATAGTGTTTAAGGCACTATTTGTGACCCCAGTCTTCCTCAAGTAGGTACCCCTTCTACAAAACACTTAGCAGTATTGCTTCCCAACTGCTCCCGTGATTCCTGAAATCATTTGGCAAAACCACAAAAGCCTGAAACTGGAGTAGGTTTTATAAGGCAGGACCTGTCTTCAAGAAACTGGAATTCACTAAACATATGTATTGTTCCTTTTGAAAAGTTTTCCAAAGTGAAGGACATCAAAATATTGACATCACATAAAACAGCTTCAGTATTACAGTATTGTCTTTTTAAATATCATGAAAATGAAGAATTACCACAACAATTCCTCCAAGGTACTCAAAGGCACAATGTGCTATGCAGCCATATTGCACAGTATACCCAAGAAATCGTAAGGTTTTTCCTAGGACATTGCGAAACATGGTACAGTGTTAACGTCCTTCAGCTGCTTCTAGTCTATATTAAAACAGAAGAATATAATTCATTTGGTAATAAACATTTGTAAAATTATGATCTGTATTAACTACCATGCAATAGTGTTGTTAAAGGAACAGTGAATACTAACAATCATCAGATATATCTAGAGGAGAATACAGTTTCAACTAAAATGCTATCAAGTTTTTTTTTTTTTTTTTTTTTTAAATGTACCACAGTGACACTTCCACATGTGGAATTTCTTCCATAGTATTTCTCACTCCCAGCTTATTACTGAGATTGTGGAATAAGAGCTGAAACAAACTCTGTAAGATTGAAGAAATTAATGGTAAGGAAGGCAGTCAATATTCTCTGCTTGCTCAGCTGGGCTTCTGTTAGTTAAGTTAGCAGACAAGCTTACCTGCCACATGTCCAGGTATCTGCTGTAGCGAGCAGAACCCACCTCCCCTTCTGCAGGCTTAGGTGAATGAAACATGGAAAGCTGCAGTCACATCTCTAAACACAGGCTTTGCATTTACTACAGCATATGTACCTCACATCCAGTTAGCCCTGCTGGAGGTTCCAAACCAAGGAATAAAAACAAGGAGTAGAAAAACCCTGACTACCCCTAAAACAGAAGCTTTATTGCTAAAGTTCCATTCAGCCAGCCTTTATCCAATAAAAATGGGTTAATTTGAAAGAAGCAAAAATACATACAGCAAACAATATTCAAAAATTAAACTGCTAAGATTTTTTCATGTGCAACTTTCATGACTGCAGAACTGTACATATAATCCTAAAAGCAAAGATAGCTCCAACAGCAGTAGCAGCAAGAAGAGTGCCTGTCTTGCCCAGCACATATTGTGCAGTGCACACACCATCAACCCAGCCATGCCGCCAAAGCCTGCTCTCAGGCCAGAAAACACACCCAGAAGACCAGCGGCTTGTGCTCCGGAGACCAGCATGACAGTGGCATGGCAATACATTAATAGTATTTTACACAGAGGTGTAGAATTAAGACCCTATCCAGCACATTCTGGATACCCCATTTCAATTCAGCAGCATTTTTTTTTCCATAAATTAAGACCATGGCAAGATTTCTTTGCTATTCCAAGCTAAGCAATAAAGCTTTTTAAAGAACTGACGTTTAAAGAATACCGTTTTGTATTTCAGATTAATGCAATTCAAAAGACTTTAATAAAACAGTTGAGAGTCCAGCCACCTCTAGACATTGCTGGTAGATATGGTTTAAAATATTTTGGTTGAATTACATTGAGCAGGGTAGATAGATATTGTGGACCTACCATGTGAAAAAGCAATGACATCAAGAGCAAGTGCAAATCTCCCTCATGCCAGCACTTATAACAATTAAAATAGCATTGCTTTATTATTAAAACTACAGACATGTATATGGATCTGTAAATAAGCCTCAAATTTTCACTGAATATTTGCAATTTTTTGCAGTTGCCACGTACTTGCAAATAGATACAAGGAACACGTTCAACTTCTCTGATGTTCTCTGGATTAGGAAGGGTGGGGCCCAGAGCATTTACCTCCCACTCTAGCTGTCTAGCTGCTCTAAAACTAACCAAGAAGACAGCACATGAGTTGAACTTCAACTGCTGTTCCTATATCTCTTATTAATGGGCTCACAAATTCTGTTATTTGCAATCTATATTAAAATAAATTCTTAACCCAAGACCAATGTCATCCATCTCAGGTGATATATTTGATACAAAAGGTTTTTTTAACGTGTTCAGGATAAAGGATGATTATAATGATGAAAAATAATGTTAATTATCATGAGACTTAATTGCTACTACTGCTTATAAACATTTCAAATTAAGATACACATACTGTAAACTGTTTGAGACTAACAAGGTAAAAAAGGAAACAACTCTTAAATTAACATTTAAGCAGGTCCATCTTTAGAGGATAGCTAACATTTACTTCCTTAACCACAGGAAAACTACAGCTCTGCAAGTTTCCAAGTCTTAGGAAGAAGCTGCAGCTTCTATCAAAAATCCTGTCCAAAACACCACTCTACAGAATTTTTGTAGCACAACTGATCCATTTTTAATATTGAAGTGGCAAATCTTGTTTCCTCAGAAAACTGTTTATTAGTACATTTTTAAACAATGATATTTTATTAATAAAAATACGGCTGAATATTTTTCCATATCACACAATTCGTTTTGATACAGAGTCCTGTCAGCAGGCAACACCACCAGATACAATTAAAGAGCATTAAACAAGTAAAACAAATTTAAATCACAATCTCCTTGAAAACTTCATGAAACTGAGGGATAAACATCCTTATAACAAAACCAATAAAGTACGTTGCAATTACTTTCAGGTACTACCTACTTTAAAAAAAAAAAAAAAAAACTTGGGTTTTTAAACTGAAAACAGACATTAAGAAATGCATACATCCACATTTATGATATAGAATAAAATCTGGTGTTTTAAAAAGACCAATATAGTTTATCCTCTTCAACAAATAAAATGCAAAATATAATTGCTCTTATCTTCTGTTCATTTTTTCTTTATATAGTCTATGCCTTCATCATTTGATTTTGTTTGTTTATAAAATTAATCACAGCTAGCAGGGTAGGAATCACTTGGAGCCTTGTGAATGACATCCAAGAGATGGGAAAGGATTAGTTCTCAGTTGCTGCCAGTTATAGCGCCAGGTGGCTTTTTCTGCAGTGAAGGTGTTACTGATAATCCCATTACACTGGTACTAAATCTTGCAGACATCAAAATTATCACCAAGGTTCCTTTTCATCCCATCCTTTCCAAATGACTGGAAGTCGCTTCACCTGAAAGAAGTCAAATCCACATGCAGCTGCTGTTTTAGCAGCCAGCGGACTCCCTGAGAATGCCAATCGTGATCCAATTTCGCTGTGCTGGTGGCCCCCTATTCCCTGTCCAATAATACATCTGTTAAAAAATCCTACAGCTACAAATCAAGTTTAATCCTACCAGAGACCTCATGTTGGTCTTGCCTTCCAAAAAGGCAGCAGGTTTTGCTGTCTATCTCTGCTAGTGTCTGGGGAATACTCTTTAAATCCCAGTCCTACTTAGAAGAATAAGCTAAGGATCACAAAACATGACCTCAAAAACCCTGATATGACTATATTCTGACCCAGAGGCATTCATTCTAGGTGAAGATTAGAACTTTGCATAATAAGATTACACAGCAAGTGAATGATATCAAGGGACTATCCATATGCAGCCGCCTGGTTTTCTATAGACAGCCTGTGCTCTGCAATATGCAGTGCAGACAGAACAGAGCTTGGTCTTTCTAGCTGAAGTAAAATAGATTCACATAAATTAGTTGGCCATTTCCAGATTCCTAAATCCCCTATTACATCTTTTATTGACAGCTCCTATGAGGATAGCACAAATGTTAGCCTCTTTATTCTTTGCTTCTCTAACAATGTTATTGAGTGAAACAGAGATTGTCTCAAAATTAACATCATTTGCTATTATCTTAGCTTACAATTAACTGTGTACATGATAAAATTAGAAAATCAATAAGCAGATTCATCATCTCCATATAACCAATAGCACAGTAAGAAGTCAGTTTAACACAGTAATAAATTTTTAAATGCAAGAAAATCAGTGGTAGCCAATAAAATTGGCTAAATAGTTATTGGACTTTATAATAGTCAAAGGAGCCTAGTGTTAAGTACTCTAAGTCACACATTATTTATGCAGTATTTTCAAAGGCTTACATAATGTCTAATCAGAATTTTCACAAATTACTTACTGCTAGGTTATTGATTTTTCCCCACCTAACAGATTTTTTCCTTTATCACATACTTTTCTCCTAACCAAGCACCTTTCCTCTTATGATGTAACACCATAGCTTGTATCATGTTTTTCCCCAAAGAGTTAGCCTAGGGCTATTACTTAAACAAGAAAAATGACTGGGCTTTCAAATATTTGTCACAAATTTCATGCACATGATAGGTAAGCATATTTTAAAACATCAAAAAAAATTACACACTAGATTAAAGGTGCATGTCACATTCATTGAGAAAGATTCTTCCTATATCAAACTTGAAATTTTATAAATATAACATTTTAAATCTAATCAGTCATCTGAGGATTCCAAACATCTAAAGCAAAGGAACAGTTTTCACATAATCTTCCCTTATGGGCATCAGGCAAAACTTGTCTCTATTTCTGTCTATTTTCTTCTGTAGAAGATGCACTAAAATGAGCCTGGTAAACATGAAAAACCTTGGTTGATATTCTGGAGGAGGAGATTATTGTGGTATGTTTGTGTATCTCTACCAGCTCATCGCCTGGTAAACATGAAAAACCTTGGTTGAGGAGATTATTGTAGTGTGTTTGTGTATCTCTACCAGCTCATCTCCAACAAGCGTTCCTTCACCTATCAATCTCGAGCAAACAAGGAGCTCAATCTGGTAAGTACAAATTCACATAACACAATTCTTCAGACATAGGTGGAGAATACCTATGTCAGGACAAACAATTTCTTCAAAACAGATTTAAAACAGTTCTCACTAGTTCTCCTTGCCTTTGGGAGGCAATTCCCAACAATTCCACAACTATGCTGTATTGGCTGTCAGATGTATTCCAGGGGTTCTGTCTTCCTCTGCAACTCTATATACTTGTCTTTGCTGACTAGAGAAAACCCAGACTGCTGAGCAAAGGCATAGTCATACATGGCAAGTTTGAGCCTCTGAAGGATGCTGAAATATTCACTTTCTGAAACAGTTTCAAAGTCAGGATATAAAGGCCAAGGGTTCAGACAGACAGCACAGATGCTTTGCTGGTGACTGACAAAAATATATTGTGTTAATGCCACAAGTGGCAAATAACTATACACATCTAATCTAGATTTGAAAGAGGGTGCTGTCTTGAGGTATGAATGGAGTCCCATTTTAAGTCCCATTTTCACATCAGGCACTTAAAATCTTTGACCCTAGTAGATTAAAGATGTCCCCATACTTCCCAGTGCTGAAACACGTTAAAAAGTATTCAGGTAATACTGAAAATACCAAAGCAGAAA